TACATATATGAATACATGCGCATACACAACAAACTCAAGCATGTAACTACATACTCAGCTGTCTGTCACCCGCATCATTCTGCAAAATGTAAACTACATATAATCGAACTTTCAAATGAAAACTGTCCCTAGGTAATACAAAGGTAAAAAAACACAGATTATATTACTGCTAATAACAACCGTTATAGAATTTTACTTTTTAATTGGAGAGAGTCGTGAGACTTAATATATCATTTGGTCTAAATTACTTGTTCTTATTTAGTATCTAATTTAATTAAAGTTTTCTCTGGAGCTTTAACTTTTGTCAAGCACTAAAGTTAAAAATTCTCTTCCCGATACTATTATTTTCTTAAAATGAAAAAAATAAAATAAAAATACTGATTTATTAGTAGGTTTCGTTACTTAAATAATTTATAATAATATTGTTATAATATTAGTTATTTATAATTTACTAATTACTGACATTGATGCTCCTTTCCACTTTGGGTTTGCTGGAAAACAACTCTTTTAGAGTTAAGCTCGCCTTTGTACATTTGATTACCTCTGTCATATTTTTATGTATAATTAATATGTACAATTAAGTATTAAATAAATAAAAAATTATTAATAATTACTAATTAATTTCTTATTATTATTCTTATTATCTGCAACACGGTTTTGCTTTCATGCGAATAAAGTAGTTAATATATTATTATTCAAAATAATTCATCTATAAATCAAATTTCATTTATTTATTCTTTATTTACCACATTCATTCAAATTTTACATTTAATTAATTTGCATAACTATTATATTTCAAATTAAAGTCGATTGTCTGGTATTGTACCTAGCTTTGAAATAGTTTGATGAAAACTTATCTTAAACACGCGAATGGTATTCAATTAAAATCATAATAGTATTGATAGTTACGCTATTGTACCGCGACGTACCAAGTGGAAAGTTGCATTGCAAACTCGTAAAACGCGCAAACCATAAAACAGACTGAAATGGTTTATGGCACGCAAGAAGGATACCAACCAGCTTTTTCACGAAGCGCCGCCATTTCACTTGATTGCACATTATATTTCATCGCCGTTTCAGTTCCCACGCTCAGATTAGGAAAATTGTCGTATAACGTATAGGTAAGTAATTTACACCCGTAGCTTCAGCCCAGTGGACTTGTAAGCCCTTGGAATCTCCATTTTAATCATTTTTTCTTATCTCATCTGTACTTTTAATACTGATCGACGTTTTGAGTAGATATTTCTATTCTATTTTTGAATTTAAAATTCGTTCGCTACTTCGTATGCATGAATTTCTGAAGTAGGAAAACCATGAAATAGACTACTTCTCGATGATGTATTACAATAAAAAATATACCAAATTTTAAGCTAAACCATTAAATAATTTACTTGTATAAACCGTTTCCAATTTTGTGCGGTAGTTTATACGTGATGCCGGAACAAATATACAGGCAGAGGCACAAAATTTCTAAAAATCTATTCTAAATATCTCTCATGTACAGACACTATTTAGTTCCCATTTTATTATATTAAATAAGTAAGATAATCAACAAATGGTATAGGTAAATTAGAATACGCATACTACTTTTATTCTATCGGACTTAAAATCAACATGTATTAATGCACAATTAATAAACACTAATGTAATGTAATACCACTGAGGTGGCAAACAAACGTACGGCCCACCTTATGGTAAGCGGTTATCATAGCCTATGAACGCCTGTAATGCCAGGGGTATTACGCGGGCGTTGCAGAAAAGAAACCCTGAAGAAACCTTTTTACAACCCTTTTTAAGAACCCCATGCTGTAGTCTCTTGGTAAATCTCAACAGGGATACTCATCTCATACTCGAATATCGAACAGGGAGTCTTATTTGGATACTAATCACGTTCAAAACAGTACATTAAATAATACGTCTCATCTATAAAAGAAATACCTGTGATTATAACAATTATTTATTAGAGACAAGCAATAAAACTTTACACAAGTAAAAACAAGTAGAAATGTAAAACGTGCTTCCATGAAACTTGAATTTACCGAAGCATACTAGAACGATATCTATACTCTAACAAATTCATATGTTCAGGCAAGTAAATAAACAATAGCGCTGTATTACTTAGTGGGGAGAGTTGAAAGTCAAATGAAAGTATACTTTGAGTGCGGTAAGATAACACGTGTTTTCTTTGATAGCGAGAACAGACGCGGGCAGAGGCAATTTCTAAAAAACGTGACAAAGCTCATAAAAAAGGACAACATTTTGTCTTCTGACAAGGAGCGTGTAGGTGATCCACTGAAGTAAAAATATCTACGCATCTAAGTACTACGAAACACAGTTCGTGCTTTCTGTCTAACTCTTTCAGCTATAAAATACAATTAAATACTAGAATTGAGTTTGATTTCTGCTATAAACTTAAGGTGTTATGTTTATCACAATTGCAAGAACCTTCAATGTTACTTAATGTGAATATAAACATAGAAATAATAATTGACTTAGCCATAGATAGTCTGTTGATGTACAAATCCAAAATCAATTATTTGATTGAATGTTATTAATTTCATTTAGAGAGTGGTTCTGTGATAATTATAATAAAACTTGGTTATCTTTTCGTTAAGTTCTGTTGAAACAGTTTATAGTTATCGTATCAGGAAATATAGTCGGCGACATTTTTATTTTTACTTTATGTAATAGTAGATATATATAATTATAAAATTAAAAAGCCTTTTATTACTCATTATAAAAAGAAGAGAGAAAAAATATTACATGCAATTTCCTTAATAAACAAAATTTTTTTCTTAATAAAATAAATTTACAAAAGTTATTCAATTATTCTTCATTGTTGTCTTATATTATTTTTATATATTACTATTATCTTTTTTCTTCATTTGGGTATCTATTTAAGGATATAGGCCTCTTCCAACCATTTCCACATGTTTCTGTCCTTTGCGAGTCTCGTCCAAGTAGGGCCCGCCACATCAATAATGTCGTCACTCCAGTGTGTTTTAGGTCTTCCGCATAGCGTTGTTTTGTTTCATGGGTACCAATACAACATTTTTTCGCTCCATCTACCATCTATTGTCCTTGCTAAGTGTCCTGCCTACTTCCATTTTAGTGTACAGGCCAGCTCAGCAACATCATTAACATGTGTAATTTTCATTATAACTTTATTGTTTTTTTTATTTTTAAGATTCAGTCCTATCTCCTCTTTCTACTGCTCTTTGGAAAACTTGAATTTTGTTTAGAAAAACTTTGCTCAGTGTCCAACTTTGACATCCATAGATTTATGTACTCTTCTACATAATCAATACTTAGTGTCTCAATAATAAGAAGTATTTTGCTACTATTAGTCCTATCAAAGATCTTTGAGGACTTCATTTTAAGACAACTTTATAGTTTTCAAAAATCATCGCAATATCATCGGTAAAACGCAAATAATTTAAATATTTACTATTGATATTATTATTGCTTAAATATGTATATATTCTAATAACGCAATAAAGAATTTGGATGGAATAGAGTCCTCTTGTACTCCTATTTTTATTTTAAAATGGTTTTCCTTCACGTTCTAATTTTACTATAGCTTTACAATTTTTATATATTGTCTTCATTATTTCTATATAGCTTTCTACACCTTGTATTAATAACGCTTTTCACAGTGGATCGTGTAGAATTGATTCGAATGCTTTTGAATTATCAACAAAAACGGACAGCTCTTTTTTTGTATTCTGTACTCGTATACTTTTCTATTAGTTGAGTCAATGTAGAAATATGGTCGATTGTGGAATAACCAACTCTATTTCCAGCTTGTTCCCTTGGTTGGTTTCTTTCCAATAATTTTGTTATTCTACCCAGTAATATAGTTGTAAAAATTATATAGATAGCTTGTTGCAAGTTGATCGGTCTGTAGTTTACTATGTTAGCCGGATCCCCTGTTTTGTAAAATTATGATGGCATCAATCTTCTGGAATTGCATTTTAATAATAGAATTTCATTAAATAATTTAGTTAAATATGGTGTAAATGGCATAATTAAAAATTTTATTATTTCATTTGTTATTCCACCATTGCCAGTGCTTTTCATAGATTTTAAACATTTAATTGTATTTCTGTTTCCAAAAAGGGTGGAACATTTTTACATCTTTTAATCTTCATTGTATTTGTAAAATAATAACTTACACAATAATAATATATGAAATATATTTAAATATTCATGAAGCTATATATATACTACAGTACACTAATTAGCTATACTGTCAACAGCGTTCTCTAGACGAATTTTGTATTTTCACATGGGAATAATATAATTTACAACAGTATAAAGTATCCTATTGAACCAAGTACTAGGTTATCACCACCCCAAAATTCATCCAGTGGTTTTGGCGTAAATTTTATAAGGACACAGTTTAATTACAGTTTTATTATTTGTACATACTTAAATGTATTTCTACAGAAAGGTACTCTCCCTATAATGTATTTAATGATGAATATGTTTTACAGGACACTTATTTCTTGGAAATACATTTTCTCGAACAATATGAATAGCAACATGAATATAATGATATTTTCATAACAACAATTATATTTCATAACAATAATATAAAAACAATTAGATATTTTCATTAATTTAATAAACAGCCGTATTTAACATCTGCTTCTTATAAATAAATTAATTACCAATGATGATTACATCTGATGGGGTCGTATAATAAAAGGGTCATTTGCACGACAACGGTATCGTTTTTTAATGAATTATGAAGGAATGGAAACATTGTCTGCGCTATCGGTATGGCAGGACATCAGAGAAGGTGAGGGTGAAAGAGTCAGTTGTCCCAACATGACGAATTCATTAAGAATTAACATAGATATTTTTTAGAGGATACAGCATGGATATCCATCTAACATGGATATATTGCTAGCAATAGGACCGCTGGACTCTATTAATAACAATCCATCCCCACTCATAAAAGAATTAATAAAATATAATATTATATTTGTTGACAGTTCGCGGTCACACAGAAGTGCGAGTGGAACTTCAAATGGAACGCTGGGCAGCTCGCGGTGGCTCCGTGCGACTCCGCTGCGTACACGATGTACCGCCGCACCTACTCGACAAAGTGGTCTTCCTCCGTCACGGCACCAAAATCTTCCAATACATTAGAGACAGGAAGCCGCCTTATAGAAATTTTACCACCCCAGGAGCTGTACTCAATGTGAGTTGAATTCAGACTTTTATACGCTAGCCATCTTTACCCGAAACTTTGATCGTATGACCGAGATTAATATAATATGATTAACCGGTATGAAACGTACTAACTTAGGTCCTTATTCATCGAAAACTGTACATATGTGCTAAAGTTCATGGCATGCTGCTTAAAACAGCACTCACCAATCGTTTTTTTTTTTTTTCAAATTTATAATATGAAAGTATCTGTTTATTTATTGTTTGTGTATTTGTGTGTATGTGTGTGTGTGTGTGTGTGTGTGTGTGTGTTTTTTTTTTATTTATTATAAAACAATTTCATTCGTTTAACATATAATTCGCTTTTTATACAAAGATGTCTAAGGTTAATTGATTAGGTTATTTTTTTTTATAATAGACAACTCGATTATGATATTGAACATAATCATATGAACATGACAAATTCCTCTATGATACCTTTTATAGGTTACTATATTATTTTTTCTTTATAATATTTAGGTATACGATAATTAAAGCAGTGGTTGCTTATACCTATTGTCAAGTTCTACTTTTGTGTATCCATTATAATTATGAGTGGAATTTCTTATAGTGATAACGCATAATACAATTCATGAAACAATAGAAGTGTCATAGTTAGAATACAAGTATACTCATCATATCTAAAAGGCAACAGTTATTACATTCTATCAGGTTCTTCTCCAAATTTGAGAATTTGTTCTACGAAAAATAAATGTATTTTAATTGTAACATACTGTATGCATACGTCATAAAATTATATCTAAATATAAAATCTTTCTTTTTCAACAACCCAATAATGTCTTATACATTAATGGGTTGGACACAAGGCTTCCCCATTTATTTTACGAGTATATTAATAACCTCTTAAAAAGAATTACCATGCTGACTAAGTTGAATAAGCTTTTATTGCAAGTTTTTCTTCTCTTGCACTGACGTATATTGCACTGATGTAATTTATTCTCTTGATCGCCTCTATAACTTAATAAAAGAATGTGACACATCTTATTCTTACTCCATCGCCATAAGGTACTGAAAAATATTACTTACAAACATTTATTTATTCCAAGCCGAAACGAAACAGAAAACATTAACATCTTTTCAAATGAACCATCGCCTAGTTTTACCTATCTTAATGCGCTAGAATGTATGTACATACCCTTAAAAGCTAAACTTGTATGCCAAGCAGGTAATCGTCCGGGTGGAGTTAATTTTCCGGGTCAGCGTTACGTATAGGGTTACCACACAATTCAAGTTCAGTTAACTCGGATTTGGTTCACTTGTACTTCTAATGCCAATTGTCCTAACCACTAACTTCTGTTTTACCAGTTTTATAGGAATAAACTTTGTGAATTTGTTACCCTCCTAAATTTAAGTAGATATAGGATAGGTAGATACTTGAATTCATATTAATGCATTCTACTCGTATTTAGGTACAGCTAATATGTGAAAATGTGTGTTGTTGAAGTTATGGTTATTTTATTGTAGCTATGGGAAATTACATTTTGATCGATATTCATGCTAAATACGTCTAGACACGCATGTGGTATAAACTTATTATTTTACGAAATAAAACTTCGTAACTTTTTTTTGTTTTCAAACACCTATATTTAGATGTATAACTAATCATTTTCATTATTATATGGAACCATCTACATAACATACCATTAGGTATTTATTGTAATCATTTGTAGGTACATAAATGATTGTATATTGATGACGAAAAAAATTTCTTTTCAATATTTAGTTTTCATTGTATAGGTAGTTAATCGATAGGTTTTTATAAAATTAACTGGTCTGTCCATAATATTTATCTCTCAAAATATTTTAACTCGCAAAAAATAGTGACTTCAATCATTGAAAGTTCGGACAAGAAGTCCCAGTCGATTAAAAAAATTTAGAATCAAGTAAAATTTAACTGATTCTAAAATGTTTTTATATGTTATTTAAACTTACACATTATTTAAATTGATTCTAAGTTTTTATATATAAGTTATATAATAATGTAACATATACATAAAAAATGCATAAAAATTAAAAATCTTTTCCTTTTTGGAATCTTTTAAAAACTAATATTCTAATAGGTGCCGATTTTGTCCACTGTATCATCATCATCATATCAGCCTTTAACTGTTCACTGCTGATCATAATCTTTCCCCCTTTGTTCTAGTATTTGTCATGCTTGGCAGGCGGATTGTCAACCGCAGTCAGGCTTTAGGGATATTTTAAGAGGGACTACTCGCTGCTACTGCTACTCGCCCTCCCTTAGTCGGTTCTTACGACACCTACGGGATAGGAAGGAATGGCCTATTCTATCCTGGGACCACATTTTCACTGTAACTTTTTATGCTATTTTTCTGCTATTTTCAAAGCCAAACTTGTATATACTCGAACAGTTCGAATTCAATATAATAATAATGAAAACTAGCTCGTCCTCTATTTCTGATGTATTACGTTTTGGACCCAAATGTAGACATAGACACGTTCATATCAAAATTAGACCTGTAGACGGAAACTAATACTTTATTCATATTAAACCCTTCCTTAAATGCCCGAACGATCAGAATCTCAAATTAAATATAATATTATATACAATATCTCTGATCAGTATTTTACTATTTTAACAGCATTTCTTTCTTAATTCTGACATCAAGTAGTTTCATTACGCTTCGAAGTCTTGGACAAAATTTCATTACAGGAATAATTTGCTCTTTACTTTTCGCTTTTAGATGTTAGCCATAAAATCTTCGATTTAGTGTCACCTGTCTAATAAGGAAAACTCTTTACTGCGCCTGTGTGACTACTTTCACATTATTCTAGAAACAACGTTGCTTTTTCACCTTAAAAATATTATTTCACTAAAAAAAAGTACACGCAAGAACCATAATTAAGTAAATTCGTCAATATAATTTGTTTTAACTTTTCGTAATGTTTATATGTATGTTTTCTCTTTCGGACGAATCAATTATTCTTTTTTTTTACGTTAATTTCTATTAAAACAAACTGAAGCCCGGGCCTGTTTATAAATAATTTTGTTAGCTCCATTTATTTAAAAACAAAACTGCTAAATTCATAATGTAGATACTTCAAACATAAGAAATATTTTATACAAGAGAACGTTGTAATTAAATAATATATTTTAGCCTTTTACCCAAATTTAACTCTCTAAGTTTGGCTGGTAGAGAATGCCATTAGCATACGCACGCCTTTTGTACCATGCATGTTTAATAAAAAACAATTTCATACTAGTATACTGAAATGAAATTATTTTTTTATAGACACTGAAAATAATATTATGTTAATTTCTATGTATGTATATATATATATATATATATATATACATGTATAACGGGAATTTTATGAACTCACTATGTTTGTAACTTTTGACAATTGATTCGACTTCATTCAAGTTTTCATGTCTTCTTCAGGGGAAATAAAATGAACATAAGCTTTAATAATAATATTATGTTAATATTTTCAAACTTAATAAAAACTGATAAAATGTCATATATTCTGCGTGGTAAAGAAATATAGGAAATTCTGAAGGTTGTACGGTAAACACCAACATTACAAATAACTTCCCAGCGAAATCTACGCGTTTTTCATTTGAATATCAATACCAAACCTGACGAAAAGTTATGTTGCCTCAAAATATCTTGATTAAAATAATTCAGAGTAAATAAAAAAAATTGAGTTTCAACAATCTTTTATGTGTAAATAAAGCTTGTAAGGATTTTACATTATTGGTGTTAACCAACTAGTTATCAAGAACAACGTAATGGGTTGAGATTCATTACGAAGACGTAATGGAACGTGAAAGATGGTAACAACTAAAAGAGATTTCAGTTGTGATCACCTTTCCCCTCTAAAATAAACTCTTAGACTCCAAAAAAAAATACATTGGTTGTTGTAGTTATAGAAACAATTGACATTGGTATATATTACAATATATCCCTCGATCCTGTCAAGCGTGGAAACTACTGGCAAACCCCCCCCCCCCCTTATGTAAAAGGCCTATGTTCAGCAGTGGACAATTAACAGCTGATATGGTGATAATATCCTTCAAGCTCCATTTGTACTTGTCCATTTTATATATTCTTATATATTTTTATATATATTTATATTCATATAGCCTAAAATAAATATATTTTATTTAATCAGTAACAACTTATTTCTATGTTATATCTTAAAGCTGCTAAATGAATTATCTAATGTTTAAAACTACATTACATTTTTATAGAATATGCATGGATTTTTTTTTCGACTGCTGAACACATAGTTCCCCCTACAAACATATTGTTGAAAATATTCAAATTATTTTTAAAATAATATTAACATTAAATAAACATGAATAATTCAAATGCCACTATTTTCGGGGACTTAAAATTACGTCGAATGCCATGTGCAATATTTATTACTATAGCTGTTCCAAATATTTCATATACACTTTAATGTTGTTATATAGACCACGGACAAAACTAAAAAACCTTTTTATGGATACTAGCAATAATTCACGACAGTCTTTGATAAACTTTAATAAAGCTAAATGACATTACATACTTTTAAAATATCATAATATAGACGTAGAGAATTTTAATTACCAATGATTCTATTTTATTATATATATATATATATATATATAGCATTTTCTGTCTATAAAACTATGTTGATGCATTATAATATTTACTCTATACTAGCTGTCTTAGCGTTGTTATAGCCTTTATCGATACCTAACGGATTAACAATTATCTTGCAGCGTTCATTCCTTTAAATTCTACAGACTTAAAATCTAGATTTGATCACAAATGCATATTTTTTTAGAAAATTGGCCAATTGTGCTTTGAATAAACCACTTTTTTACGATACTAAGTGATTACTAAACTTAATATCAATTTTATTTATAATTTTCGTGACGATACTAAGTCATTACTAAACTTAATTTTTATTTGTTTATATAATTAAACTTTTCAAATAAAGCAACAACTGAGTTTCTTGCCAGTTCCTTTTGACTGGAATTGCATTTCGAATGAGCGGTAATAAAAAAAATACTGCTTAAAAATTAATGCTTAAATCTAAGTTTACTTGAATAAAAATATTTCTTACTTTTTTCTTTTTTCAATAGATTACTGAACTGAAAATCACTAAATGAACACAATTTCAAATAAATTTTATCTTTAAAGATACTATTTACACAATATAAAAGTAGATACCAATAAAGCCGATGAATGGTATGTGATGTCACGTTTTGTTTCAACCAATAATAAAGCGTTTCCCGTATTATATGTTGCATTACTTATTTTGCATTCTTTAATTAATATTTTATGCACTAAATAATTTAAAAATGTTTTAAATATAATTCAAGCAACTTTAAATTCTATGTATATTCCTTATAATATCTTAATTAATTGATAGGTAGAATTAGTCATCATGTTTGATAGTGTAATGAGCACCTAATTGTAGCAGGCATGCAATGCAAGTACATGTACAACTAAAAGTGGCAGGTAATGCAAAAGCGCACTTAAATTAATTCGGCATGCCTACATTCCGTTGCATGCACACAGCTCGTTTAACCAATAAAGGGCGTAGCAGGTCGACCTCAGTTCCAGGTCAATCCGGAGAACACCAAGCAACTGATGGGAGTGTCGTTAAATAAATTGCTAGTTCAACTGACGAGTATATCATACATGTAACTAACTGGACACGAGAAGGCCTAAAATCTTCACTAGATATTTCCATTCAACGAATCATATCAATGAATGAGTATACTTTATTTGCATTATACAATATAGGAAATAAACAAGATAATTTACAAACATAACGATACAATTGTATAAGTACAGTAAGGCGGTCTTATTGCTGAGAGCAATCTTTTCAAGACAACCTTAAGGTAATGGACTAATTGTTGTACAAGTAGGTTGTTAATATTAAGTAGGTAGTTGTCAATCATATTCTAATGAATCGCAATCAACATAATGTCATATATACCTATTTGACTGATGTCAAATTTTAAGATCATATTTTTTAATTGTTCTTGAATTAAAATTAAAATAATAAATGTACTTATTTGGAATTTATCTATATGCATGAAACATTAAAATCCATTAAGTAGTTTAGGCATAGTTAAGTAGCAAACATCTCCACAAACTTTCACATAATAATATATTAATAGGATAGTAGGATAAAATTGCAGCATTGCCCATCCTATTTTGAGAACCTCAAGAGTCAATAAGATGATTGGCAAAAAAGATTATTTTAGGGACTTTTTATAAAGCACTCTAAGTAGCCATTTAAGAGCTCCAATCTTCTACTATATTGTTTTGGCATTTAATACTCTTATACAGATCTCTTATATTATTATTTCTTAAAAAAATTTATACAGGCTGCGGCCAAAAAATAATATTAAATGTCTTTTATTGCAACATAACTACAAAACCTCAGGCCTGATTGGATTACGTCCAAGTCATAAACTATTCAATATTAGACCTATGTCTTGAAATAAGCCAAAATCTCAGATTGCTGTAACAACAGACTGCAATAAAAAGACAAAAAGGAACCCTTCTAATGGAACTTCGACAGTACTTCAGCAACTATACAAGTACTAATACTATCGATTTGAAATCTAAATAAGTTTTTGAAATCTTATTAGAAAAAAAAATTAACTTTAGATTAATTAAATCAATTTTCATGAATAATATCTGTATATTATATTTACCTTATTGTTCCCAATCCTTTAAAGGGCTAAATTAACCCTTTTTACCATTACATTACCATACAAATACAAACAAATAAACGAAAAAATATACACGTGGACAATTTCTTTTTATTACAGTAAAAATTTTGAAATTTATTCTCTTACATATTATTAGATAGTATTTCCACTATATTTCTCACAAATTTAAGCAATATAGGGCTACATGGAACATTTTTTTTTATAATATGTGTACATTTGAAACAAGTACTTACATAATGCATACTCAAAATAAAGTACCAACATCACAGAAGTTAAAATTAAGTACATTATCTCGGCAATTTTATTACACCGTTCCATTGTTTGATAACAAAGTTTTACAGCTAATTACAATAACAAGTGCCATGTTTGTTGATGGCAATGATACTTTTTGATGCAGAATTCCCCGTCTGTGTGTCCAAATCACCCTTCAATGACTTTATTATATATATTCAATTTATAGTCAGTTTCAATAGAATTAAAAAAATATATATAATAAAGTGTTTGAAAAATTTAAATTATCACAGAAACTATCTCTAAATGAAATTAATCATACTGATCAAAACATTTATTCGATTGCTCAGTTTTATTTATATTTATTTTTATTTATTTGTACCATATTGATCATGATCAGACTTCTTTATGGTCACGTCATTTATTCGTCCGTTTTATTAAATTTCACTATTCAAACAAACTTTTAGCTATACCCATAAAGTTATAGAACTACTATACCATATAAAAATAATATCAAAACATATTTATTTTCAGATTGCCTTAGCAACGGAAAACTCAATAATACTACAGAATCTGGATTTCGCGGCAAGCGGCAGCTACTCGTGCGAAGTTTCTCTGGATACACCAATTTACACCAAAGCTTCGAGCGAGAAGCAGCTCACCGTATTTCGTAAGTTATTTAAAAGTTGTTTACTCTGGCTCCATATCCATACTTCGACCATCGTAAATTGTATGGGGAAACTCTAACCATGCAATGCACTAGGGACCAATACGTACGTAATACAACTTGAATTATTTCATACAAGCAACTTTGAAACGTTTGATGCTTAAACACATTTAAAAATTAATACAAAGAGATCTTGTCTTATTAGCGAAGTTAGAATAAACAAATATAAAGAATAAAGCAAGAGCATTTTTTTGTTTAGTATAAACATGCTAAGGGGCCATCCCTAAATTACGTTACTTGTAAATAGGGGAGATCTGGTCTTCGGATGACGGTAATATGACGTGTGAGAAGGGGAGGGGGTCAAGTAAAAGCTGTCGTCATTTTTACATGGCTGCAAAAGATTTTACATTATACTTTAATATATCCAACTCTTATAAGAAATACAAGTATATATTGCTCTTCAAAAAATTACTTCAATCAAAAGAGCTTTGTTTAGATAAATTTAGTTGGCACTATCTAAAACTGGTTTACATTTTATATCTTTTTATGCACCGGGTTTCGACTTATAAAAATAGGAAAATTATTAAAAATCATCCTTCACCTTCCAATTGATTGCTTCACAATCTTCAAAGTTTGTGAAGCTACGAATTATTATCAAGATTGAATTCGACTATATTGGCTCAAAAAAGGAAATCCTAATCGTAATAACAATACTGATTATTTTATATATGAAACTTTCGACTTTGTGAGTCGTGAGTTCAACTCGCATTTGATTGGTTTCTTTTGAATATCAGCATTTACTTTACCCATTTTGAACCGATTTAAATAAGTTTTTTGCAATCAATAGGGTTTTTTTCACAGATGATAATGGAATGGTAAACTCGCCTGCGCTAACGGTATACTCTGATGAGGTACCAGTGAGAGATGATAAGTGACGATGAAGCAGGTCAGTTAACCACTCGTGATGAATTTATAAAATGTTATAAAATACTCTAAGAATACTCGCTTGTATAGAAAAAATATGACCCCAGAAAGCAAAAATATTACCAATTTTGCTGTAATTATGTAAGTTTTATACCAATATAATTTGTGCTACGTATTCAACATGTGCCGCTAATTATACCTTTCCATGTAAATTCATCATTAATTTAAAATACACCTACTTTGACAAAAGTTATTACTAATGTAAGCATCATTTATATGTAATAGATAAATTCCTAAAGGGTTAACTTATTATTTTTTTACATTTCCGTTTCACATTATTTATTTATCTTATATTATACATGTACACATGTCGGATATAATGTAAAAAAGGAATAATATTATCCACTTTAAAATAAAAGAGAAACTATAAAAAACATATGCACTAAAGTAAAATAATGAACATACACCTAATATATTTTTTTAAACGTTATTATATAATAACATTGTTGGTAGGTTACATAAAGTTCACGTCGTGGACCCTTTTGGTCACAGTATAAGTAGTAATGGAGGACGAATCCGAAAAGCTTACGCAAATACTTGAATTTGTATAAGCCGTGTTACTTGCACAACACGAGACATTTACATTTATTATAATGATTGTAGCATGCAATTTTAGAATTTTATGACCAGTTCACCAGATGCCAAGAATTGTCTCTTGCCGGACTCTTAATACAAAAAGACAAGGCAAGAATTTTATTCGTGGTCATATTATCCCTCGTCGACACCGTATATAACAATAAGAGCTAGATATCTATCATACATGTCAATTAACTATCTGTCTACATACTAACATTAAACATGAAGCAAAATATGAACATATCTGTATATTAGTTAATGACGTAATTTACATAGATAATATACTACATTTATAATAACAACTTAAAGGCACCTTACGTTAACATTAAAATAAAAAAACTCGATGTACTTAATAAAGCGATGCATTACTTCACGCTGGATTAAAGATTAAAATACAAATACAAATCGCAAATCCGGCCCCCTTGGAGTGTTGCTGTCACGTATGGGCGGGAGCACCTAAACCTAAAAGCTTGAAACCTTCGACTCAGTGCAACGAGCTATGAGAATTGTCGATAATCTCAAGTTTACAAGCGGTATCGAACCCTTAATTAAGTATTAGAAAAGATTTTGCCTCACTCTGCCTGTTCTATCACTCGTACAACGGATTGTGTTCAGAGAAATTGTTCAATATGATGTCCACAGCTAATTTCTACCATCGTACGGCTCGCCATCGACAGGGAGTTCACCCTCATACCCTATAACCTAAATGGTCACGTACAACGCGGTTTCAGAGACATGTTCCTCCACGAACACTCAGGTTATGGAATGAGCTCCCTGACGAAGTTCTCCCAAGAGACTACAGCATGGGATTCTTCAAAAGGAGGTTAAATAAATTTCTTCAGAGTCGGCAACGCACGCGTAATATCCCTGCTATATATTTCATAGGCTACGGAAACCGCTTACCATCAGGTTGGCCGTATGTTTACCACCTCAGTGGTATAATTTTTTTTTTCATTTTATTAATAAAAAAACAAATTATTATTTTATTTTAAAATTATTTACATAGTTCTAGATATTTCCAAAGAAGTAAATAACATGGCCTGCTATCATTTTAAGCAAAAGGCGATTTTTAGTTTGTCTGTACTTTTTATTATGATTAGATATATGAATACTGATATTAAAAAGAGGAAATATATGATTGTTTGTTTGTTTGTAATGGATAAAGTAACTACTGGATTTAAAAAAAATATTTAATATTGAAGGATAAACTTTCCATCCAACAAAGATTATACAAATACACACTTATAATACAATTGCATTTAACAAGGTACACTAACATGTTGCAAAACAAGTCGACTGGTTTTAGTTCACATCAGAAATTTAAAGTGGAGAACCGTTGGAATATAAAAGTATAAATCCTTGATGTAATAAGATACTTTTTTATCAACTTAAGATTATCGGAATCTTTTGACATCAGACATCTATTGTTTTATTCAATCACAATCTCTTTATATTGCTACTTGCAATCCTGCTTTTTTATTTACTTACATATTTTATGTATGTAATTGTATCTTTCTTTGAAAATAACAATAAAGAGCTTTCGTTTATTAATTCACAATTCCAATAGACATTACATAGATACGTCTATGAAAATAAATTAACTTATTATTAACTTTTCATTAATGTACCGTATTAACGCTGCAGCAAAGAATTAGATATTGTGTCTCTCATACGTTGCTATTCCTGAGAACTGGTATTATACCTGCGGATCCTGTAATTTCACTCCCATATCCCTTCTAACCAAAACATGGAAATCGTCAAATATACCATTTCGTTCAACTTTTCAAAATCGAATCAGAAACTGTGACAATACCCATAAAAAACTTCCAAGAGTGAAAGTGAAAGACTCCTTTTCTTGAAATCTCTTAATAACTCGACTTTTTACTATTATCAATACCGATTAAGTAAGCGTACTTCTAAGTCCAATAAAATAATTAATCTGCAAAATAATGATAAGTTCAAAGCAACAAGTTACGTAACTAGGATACATCTGAACCGATACGCATCGTGGATTTATGTGCGGACCCAATGTTTTCTATTATTGGATTTTCGGTTGTCACAATAAACAACAATTTATATTTTTCTTGTATTTTTTGTTCATGTTTTTCCTGTTTTAATATATCATATACATATAAAAAATATTTTCCGATAAGCTAATACTTCATTCACATCAGATATCACCTTTGTAATTTTGTAATAACATATGATTGTACAAAAGTACTAAATATTCATTTATCTTAGAAAAATACGCATAAATGTAAATACAAGTGTTGTTTTAAATATCGTCATTAACCATCTATTTTAATGCTCGATGAAGGAAAACCGTGTCACGCATTGCAAATAAGCAGCACGCTCCATTAGTATCGACCGCAAGTTACTCGCGAATTCCGACTCTATGTTCCCCGAGATAAGATAAATATAAGTATGTTTTTGACAAACGTATAGAAGGTTATTGCTGAAAGATACGAATGGCTGAATGGAATAAAGCTATTTCAAATCAGTAATAGCACCTCCATTATTAGGTTTTGAACGTTTTCGTTGAATAGTGCAAATTTAGCTAGCTCTGACTTGAATAAATAGCCGATGTGGGTGTGGAGCCAAACTACTGAGTTAAAGCAGAATTCTAAAATACTCCACTGTACTTGCTTATTTAGTTTACATTACGATTTAGGCGTAGGTAGATACTAAATAAAGCCTACAACTCAGATAAAATCGGTTCCATATTAGAAACCGAAACATTTATTATTTATATCCTGGTTAAGGTTAAGACCTGCCTTAACTATTTCCATTTTTCATGGCCTTTAGTTAACACATATGAATTTTATATAAATATTGAAAGACTTTAGAAATTTGCAAAAAGTCTAGATTTACACATTTTACCCTCCTATTACTAATTGTGCCAGTGATAAGTTAATCAACCCCATTTCACAAATATATTATAGTTATAAATATATTATAAATATATTATAGTTTTTTATCTATAAAGGATAGACGTATATTTGATACGAAACTAAGAGTTAAAATTTTGCATTTATCTTGTTTATCAAAAAGCTATGAATATCTATTACCTATATACCAAGCTCAAAAAAACATACAATTATTGCATGATATTGTATATTGTTTATGTATAACAAAGATTTGTAATTAAAATTTATGAGAGAAATATAATAAATTTACATTATATAAATTTAATTGGAATACATTTCCTGACTCAAGGTATTGATCATTGTAAGGATAAAGTTCCTTATTCTTATGGTATTGCAATAAATAAAATAATAATAATTAATTAGTCACTATTTTTGTACCTACCAATAAATACCTATCAAAGTTATCTTTAGACTGAAAGTAAAATTAGATAATTATAAGAACCAAAAAAATCTTCTCCATTATTCATTCTTTTGTCAGAGTGGTCATGGCTGTACAGGTGGCGTAATCTTGATTAA